TCCATAGACCTTACGAGTCTCGACTTCTTTCTATTCAGGATCAGCATCCAAGGACAGGAAGAATCGGCATCCAACACTCAATCGATCTCTCGATCGTCCATCTCGCCTGTAAGTTGCACTCATCTCTATCTGTTCAGTTTTAGTGCCAACAATTCTAAACAAAATTACTATTCTCAGTAGCCAGTAGGGTTTTTATTTATGTTCTTGTTGAAATAGGACTTTGCCTTTATATATCCCCTTGGTTCTCCCTACGGTTTCGCTCGATCGATCTGTTACAAATCTGCTGCGTGTTCTGAGTCAGAATGGATGATGAATCGAGTGGTACGGTGGTGAAGCTGCTAATTCGTGGTCGAAAACGATATCGAATAAAGTTATATACTTCAGAGCCAGAAAAGAAGAAAATTAGGAAGGTATTACATGAAGGCGTCCTGGTAGAAATTCTCTCAAAACTGCCTGCCAAGTCTGTACTCAGGTTTAGACGCGTCTCAAAAGAGTGGTATGCTCTCACCAAAACTTCTTATTTCATTGCTAGACATGACCTTCATCGTCGCTCTCGCTCCGCTCAGAATCATGGTCTTCTCCTTGTCTCGACATATCTCACCAATGAAAAATCTGACAGACTTCTAATGATGTCATTGCATCCTGATGATAAAGAATCAAAAATTTTGCCTACTTCTTTCCTCCCCATCCCGAAACAGATAACCTTAAGCCGCTCTAAACATTTACATTTTGGCTGTGTGGGATCTAGTAATGGTTTAGTTTGTTGTCTTCTGCTGCCCATTGAGAATGAGAATGAAAAAGAGAATAGAAAAACTGCAGAGATGGAGGAGGAGGAGGAGGGAGATGTAGAAGAAAAGGATGCTGCTCCTGCGTATACTGATATATTAGTAGTATGGAACCCGGCAACAGAAGAATTTAGGTGTCTCCCGCAACCACCTATTAATCCTTTTGAGAAGGAGGAGGGCATAGGCATAGACATACAACGGGATCGTCATAGGAATTATGTTTTAGGTTTTGATTTCTTACCAGAGATTAGTCAATACAAAGTGGTGAGAGTTTTCCCGACACCTCATCCCGGTAATGATCCCGATTCTGACTATGATGCTGATGGAAAAGTTTCCATTTTCCAAGCCCAAGTGTTGCTCCAAAGTACAAATTCATGGAGAGATGTCAAAGACAAATTAGAGTTTCCATCATTTAAAAGTACTTGTCGAACATGTGATGCGATTACCCTGAATGGAGTGATGTATTGGTTGGTAGAGCAAACGTCGAGCGAGTTCTATCTTGTGTCATTCAATTTACGTGACGAGGTTTTTCATTTGATACCACTACCAATAGAATGGCGTCGTCTTAATGATGATCAATATTGTTTACATCCATGGAATGGTTCAGCTGCAATTTTGACTAGTTATTCAGAAAATGGCGATTGGGAGCGAGTGCTTTGGGTGTTGGTTCAAGATCAAAAATTTAAGAAGCCAGCTTGGGTTCAACAATTTAGAACCAGATCGAAAGTATTTTCGGAATTACGGTGCGTAGGAGCATGGAAGGATCAATATATTGTCTCCAAACGATCACGAAATAGCTTGTTTGCTTATGACCCTAGAAGCGACACAAAGATAAAGCTTTTTCCCCACCGCGACAAAATCTGTTTTTCTGAAGGACTGGATTATGTGGAGAGCCTACTTCCAGTCTAGAACTAATTAGTTAATTTGTATGTAGTTCTATGTGATCAAAGTTGACATACATACTAGGAGATATATACATACATACATACATATGTGGATCGATATCAATTAATTCTAGCTATAGGCTGTTGTTTGCATTTCATGTACATGTATGTATGTAGTCATATACATATATACTATTTACTCTAAATTGGTATTGGTACATTTTTGTGACATCTGTTACATTTAATGCATTAGTTGTTGTAAATATATTAATGTGCATGAGAGATCTTTGTTGAGGTACATCCACTCCAGGCTCCCTTTAAGCTTTAATTAGGGCATCCTCAGGGGAATTTTTGGGTCTCTATCCTATATATTTATTTCAAAAAAGAACAAGACACTAACGGAACAAGAGGTGGTCAAGAAGGCCACCACACAAAACAGAAAGGCTAAAAAAACTCTACATTACAAAACTACGGCTTTCCAATCTAGATGGATGAGCTGAAAGCTAATCTACCTAAATTCTTCAGAAGCAGACGCCCAAAGCGATGCCCAGAATCGGATACAGTCCCAAAGCTGCTCTACCTCATCCCCTACCACATCCTCAAAAATTCTTCTCTTCATTTCTCCCCAAATTACCCCAAAAAATGCCATCATGGCACAGTTTCCCAACACTGAACCCTTCCTCTGAAGGTTTCGAAGAGTTTCGATCTGAAGGGTAAGAAGCTTTTTCCTTTTCTCCCTTGAAGTCAATTAAATCACCAGCCAAATCAAGGATGACCCAGTGCTTCATTATCTGCAGCCTGAGTGAAAAACATATGGTCCGTATCAATGCAAGATACAATTCCAACAACCAACTACATATTGAAAAACTATGAGTATGCGCAAAATATAACAGAAGGTAATCTCCACACAAGAATCTAACCTCTAACAACCTGCAAAAGAAATCAGAATTATGCAGGGAGAAACCATTATTAGTTAAGAGTTACACGATTACACCAGTGAGACAACTAACAACTTACAATAAAAATTTCAATAATGGGAAATACCAAAAACTAGCCAGGCCCCTGCAAAGTCACATGGCTGAGAAAAGTATCGCCAAAGAGTGAAAAATCTTCATCGGCGCTAAAAGAAATGCATAATCAGGATTGTTATACCTTCATATTTATCGTCTCGATCACTTGAGATGCTGGAAGTTCCTTATTCAATGACAGTTTGGCATTTGAAACCCTTTCTTCAGTAGAATCTTGTGTTGACGGAGATCCAATTATGTTTCCATCAATAAGATTATCAGTTTGGAGTCCAACAAAATTTCCTTCATCTTTTGGAGATGTCATCTGCTCCACAGGCCTTACATCTTTCCTTAATTGAGTTCGACACATAGAACTTTCTGCTTCACCATGCACTTTGATAAGTTTGTTATTAAATTCTGACTACCTGTCAGTTTTCAAAGTATCTTCTGGAAGTGGTTTGGCAGGATCAGTAGGTATTGCTGCCTCATGTATCCCCGTCCTTTCATACTCCTAAGGACCAAAAAACATAAAACAACAAATGTAAGACACATAACAATACATAGAAAAACAGCAAATGAATAGGATGAAACAAAACCTCCCAAATTGGTATAAGTGACTGAACCATTTTCACATCTGAAAGAGTTTGTGAGAGGGATGTATACATCTTACGCTACTGATTAACAATCTCTGTGAAACCATGAATGAGTAACAATTTGATCTGCAAAAGAACAGTAGTAAGAAAAGATAACGCAATAGCTGTGGCATAACTGAGCATCGAAATAAACCATCTACAGTAGCATCCCCCTCAAGTTCACAAATACTGACGTTTAATGCAGTTCATATCTGGATTTGAGGAAGCATCAAATTCACCAGGAGAATTCCACGTCCAGTCAACTGGAATTGTGTCCAAACAGGTGAACCCAAAGACAGATGGCCATGTATATCTGCCTAATGCAAAAGTCCCAAAACATCATACAAGAACATTATTCAACCAAAGTTACATTCATGTGCATCGGAATCCTAGCCAAAAGCATAAATACCAATAATGCCTATCCAAAATTATCACGTGCAAAGAAGATACAAAGTTGACCTGGAAATCAGCAGGCATGCAAGTTGACTTATCTATGTCCTGACTAGGCTGTCCATTGTGAACAGACTTCCTAGGGCAGAAGGCATCTGGTATTGGATGACGGAACTTAATCTTCGATACATGTAGATGACCCATCCCATACAAGTTGTAGTCAACCTACCAAAAAGGGAAGCTCTGATCATAACAACAAACGTTGACATAAATGCAGCTAGAACATTACAAGAATCGGGTATTTGCAGATCCAACATATCAATGTGCACAATCATGCTTTAGAATGGACCCTCTACGCTACTTTGGGGCAATTTCCACAAGAGATAGTCTTAAATTGTATGAATCCTGCATAGTTCTTTCTAAACATGTATGAGTTAAAAATCAATGCAATAATTAATATGCAGGGAATCATTTACCATAAACTGGAGAATGAAGGGAATGTGAGATTCATGAGGCTGTAAGCATTTATCGAGAACCCAACTTCCCTGAAAAGCAAGAATAACAATGATAAATCATCATTCACCCAGTCAGCTTTAAAATACAAGCTAAATCAAGACCATAAAAGAATTTGATTCACAAAAATACATCCATATAATGATCAGTGATCACCAAATTCCAAGTAAACCACAGGAGGTCAAATTGAAAGCTCAACGAAAAACTGATAAGAAATCTGTGCAAAGGGTATGATCAGAAGTAAGAGGCTCACTTCCATACAAATTGTGTAACCATATTAAAAATCTGTTTTAAGACCTACCAAGAAATCTAGTTTTGGTTGACAAAATAATTTTAAAGAAGTAGACCATGCTACGAAAGAAGAAATATATTCAACAAGTTTAACACATGAAACAATAAAACAAATAAAAAGAAAGAATCAGAAGCATCTCGTCAATGATAACTACAATAAGAACTTATGACCTCCAATGAAATACTTCCACAGAAAAAATGTCCTAAATAAAAACCAGAGTGTTCACTACTTTACAAACTAAAAAAATAGCATTGATAGCATATAAAGAGAACTTCACATCAGAGAAACCAATAGCCACGGCAAAGGAGGAAAAGAGCTCCAATATGCCAGCAGTCAAAACCCTACAGGAACAATAAGAAATCTCAAAGAGCCGCCAATTATAAGTAAGATGTTGAAGAAGAGCACCAGAAGAAGATTGGCAGCACGAGAGACATCATGTGGATAGTAGCTTAGTTTCTAGTCAAGGTGTTCAATAACATACTCCTGGCTGCTAAGAAAGTAAATTCATAAAAACAAGATTAGGATACAGGTATATCTTCACAAATACACCTCCTCTGATGAGTGGTAACCATAAAGCTTCCTTGACTGGACAAGGCTGCAACTATGCACATGTTGCCAATTTGAACCAGCATTGCCTTTGAGGTGTAACTTGTAAGTGTTACCAAATACATTGATCCGTGGATTCAGTACCAGACATGTGAAGCAGAGAACCATACCATACAAAATGCATTGCAGACTAGCACTCAATCAATTTAACGAGGCATACCTTCAAAGCTTTCTCTATAGCAAGAGATATATCATGTGTGTAAGAATCAACTGTGCAATCAAAACAACGGGGAAACTAATATCTAATTATATTCATGTATCAAATGTGACTATAAAAAATAAAAGCATAACTACAGAGGAAAATCAAACCTAGAAAACCCCGAACTTTTTAGAAAAACGTAGGCAGAAATATATACTAAGTTAAACGAAAACCAGCTTTCTCAAAAACAAAATGCCAACAGGGCATAACAGAAACGCAATGTGTCTAAACATAATATTATCAACCCAATAAAGCCTTCTTCATTCCTTCCAACTGGGATTGTATATCAATCAATTTTTTGGTAGCATATTAAGTACCTTTCTCGTGCAGGTGCAGCTGAATGCATGGCACATATAAATATGGTAACGCCTGCATATAACAAATTAGCCCAAAAAACACAATAAGAAACCCAACACAAAGGTCAATTAGAAGGAAAAAAAAAAAAAAAAAGGAATTAATAAGCAACCATCTAAATCTTATTCGATGAATGTGCAAACAAGTTTTCTGGCCAGCCGGAGTAGAGCCGAACATTCGTATAACGGGCACCTTCAGAAACATTTAACAAAAATAATTTATGTTAATATCAAAACCATAGCACCGTGTTTGGTGACGCAGAAAATTAACCAGAACATCCACTCACTCAGTCAAACCCACACCTCTCACGTCTCACAGTGAACTATCAAATTCCATAAGTTGAAGAGTAAATCCTAAGCCCGAGTTTGGTTGCAGAAATTATGAATGAATTTTTTTGAAATCTAAGTTCAATCAAACACATAGTAGCCAAGTGAAGGAAACAGTGGCTATGAATTTAAGCAAATTGACCGTACGGCGTCGTTTCACGGAGGGGTTGGGAGAATGGTACCTTGGAAGCTACTGTAAGAGACATCGAGGCCTGGGATCGGCGGCGCCATGTAGTAATCGACGGAGATTCAATAAAGTTGATAGGAAATGATACCTATGTCGGTTCTGAGAGCACGGTTACGCTAATTGAATATGGGGGCATTAGTATTGGGTCAACTAAAGTCAGTCTCAAAAAGATTTTCAATGACGTAATCTTATATATACCATGTTTACTGACCACACCTATAAGACTTTAATAAAAGCGAAACCCGCTTAAATAGGCGAGAACAGGCTCAATTATACTGTAATAAAAATACTTCATAAGGTTACACGAAAGCAAAAAGGCAACAGTTTGGTTCTCAAATTTATAAACAAATTTACAGACACAGAGAGAGAGTGTGTGTGTGTGCGTTCAACTTTGAAGTTTAACTTTGCTAGCTATATTAGCACTTTCCCATTATGCTTATTTTGGTCATTCAACATAAGAAGCGGATTCAACATAAGAAGCGGATTCATTAGCCCAAGCAACAGATTTAAACTACTTAACTGGCTAAATCCATTTATTAAGGAAAAACAGCTTCAAAGATTGTTATGATTCGATGAACCAGAACCACCAAACAATGAAGTTCAATGCATTATTTCATTGCATAACTACACTTAGTAAGCTAAGTCTTTCACTCAAAGATCTTCTGGATCAGTTGTTGGATCCGGTTCGTGGGCGGGGACTTTGACCTTTGGCGGTGAGGGGGCTTTCTTCCTCCTCTTATCCTTCACTTTAGGCTCCTCCTCCTCCTCCTCTATGACAGTCTCCTTGGCCTTCTGGTCCTCGATCACAAGGATTACTCTTTTGGTAAACCTCTCACTTAATGGTTTTAACTCTTCTTCATCCAGTTTCCTTTTCCCTTTCCCAGTATTATTGGGTTTGCTAGCCAACACTAGGCCAACCCCAATAAACAGGATGAACACAAGAGCAAGATGTATCTTACTCTTGTGTTCATCTTGTAAAATACTAGAAAAACTGACCTGCTTGATAAGAAATGGATCAACACTGTTGTTTTCAATGTTCCTGTTAAGAAGCAATAAGAAAACCAGATTTAAAAAAGAAGGGAAAACTAATGCTGGGAAAGGGCAGATAGAGTAGACACCTATCAAAGAAAGATCTAAAAAGATGAACAAGATGTTGCAAAGTGCAAGTGGATGGAATAGAAACCTACATATCTGTTTGTGGAAGTAGCACAGCTAGATAATCAACTGATCCAGTAAAGTTGTTATTCTGCAGGAACCTGCAGATGCACCCAATAGACATGTGAAATCAGTGAAACATAACTGCACAATACACTCAAGCAAAAAAAAAAAGACTAAAAAAAGCACAAACTCACAATCCAGTGAGGTTTGTCAAGGATCCAAATGAACTTGTGAGGCTTCCAGTCAAGTTATTGTATGACAAATCCCTGCAGAAATCAAAACTCACAAGTAAGAAATGCATGTCATTTTGGAGATTTGTTGCTACGGTTACAAGTCGATAATTTGCGTAAGCATGTTCATGAATGTGGGCTTTCCAAGAGGATTGAGTTAGTCATTACATCTGCTTTGCTAAGGTAATCATAGGGGTCATTTGGAAATTAAATTGTAAGTTATTTTCTCAACATATTTTTCTTCCTTTGCTAGAGGTTTGGTAAGCACATAGAAAAAATTTACATAACTATTTGAAAGGAAGCATACAGTTCTCTTAAGTTCTGTAGGCTGGTAAATACATTGCCAACAGGTCCAGATAACAAATTGTGGCTTAGATTCCTGCAAGAAAGGAAAAATTACAGCTTAATTATGCTGAATAATCATGAACCAAAACCAGTAATTAATCAGTATGCAACTCACAAATGTTGGAGACTTTTCATGGTAGGTAAAGAATGGAGAAAATATCAAAATTGTAGAACATGTAAAATAAAACCAGTTGTATGAACGAGGAATCGTACTTACATATGAGTGGCATTTTGGGGTAAGACATATGGAATTTCACCCACTATGTAATTGGAACTAACATCCCTATAAGAAGAAACCAGATGAAAAGGTTTACACAAACCATATGTGAAGTAATTTAATTTCTTTTTAACAAAAAACTTACAGTGTCTTCAGGTTGAGCATATTATAGAGCTGGGCACTAAGATACCCGGAGAGGTTCAGCCCCTGAAGTTTACTGCATAAGGTGAGGGGGGAATTGAGTTTAGTACATAATCCAAGTATAGTTAATATGGCCAACAACAAAAGAATTAATGTACTAGAGCATTACAGGTGTATTATAGATGACCCAGAACATGACAGTCCAGCCCATGATTCACCACAAGGATCCCCACTATCCAATCTCCATCCCTTCAGCTGCGGAGGGCCATTAAGAGCCTTGTAAAAATCTTCAACAGCCGTGACTGTAGTGCATAGAGAGAAAGAGAAAACATGATGGAGAATTTATAAAATCAATAAACTCTATAGAATAAAAAAGATTTCAGACAACACGGACAGAAACTTGAATCCAACACATGTAAAGTCTAATTAATTAAAGAAAAGTTTCAACCAACTCCAGGATTTTAAAAAGAAAGAGAGTGCAGGATTTCACACATGAATTTACTAATGATATGTATATAGTCAACATATTACATGTATGGAATAATTTCCATGTCAGTTTCAATTAAACAAAGAAAACGATCGGCATACACAACAAAAATAGAGGCCAAGAAGATTCATAAAAGACATTCATGAATATTACAGCCCTATGATCTATGTATCAGCGAGATCATAAGAAGTATCCAGTGAAGAAAGATACTTTTTTTTTTTTTGGAATAGAAACTTTATCAATTCAAAAGATATAAACAAAGAAACAAGCAAGTGGATAAGGAATCCACAAGAGAAAAACAAAAGAAAGCTGCAACCTCAAGACCAAAACAAAACAAAGGAAAGTAGGACAAAAACAAACAAGAAGACCACCCAGGAAAAGATAAAAGAGCAACACATGGGAGAACCTCTTTGCGGCTTTTGTTTCTATTATTGGCCTGCTACTATTTATATATCTCATTGGAAATTTGCAGGTTGGTGTCAAGTCTTTATATCTAAACTTTTCTTGAATTAGTCTTTTTTAATTAGGAGGGACAAATCACTCATTGCCATTTTTCAGTTTGGTCTGAATCATTAATTGCTAGTTACTTATATATATGGTCACTGTTATGTTGTAATACATTATTAACAACATTATATATACATTATACATTATTAGCTGGTAGTAATTAACTTTACTTATAGATATTAGAATAAATACTCACGAACTGAACGTAGCTACGTTGTTTTGGATTAATAGATGTACATGCAGTTCGATGCTGAAAGAGAAGAGAAACGTAAAGAACGTGTTAATGAAGAGATGGAATTCAAACGGGGGTTGAAAAAGAAAGGTAGAGAGATAGCATCCTGGTTATCTGAGAATGTCAGGATCCCTGAAAATGAGAAGGATAAGGTAAAGTCGCAGATCATGAGAACGGTGAAACCCGAACTGGAGGAACTCAGGGGTGGTGACGTGGAGGGGATCCTCTCTATTCTTCCCTCTAAACTTGAAAGCTATCTCAATTCCCATATGATGTGGAAGGAGTTAAAGACAGTAAGTTCCTAAATTAATTTTCCTCTCATTATCTTTTCTTACATGCATATATGTATATATCTATTGAATTAATAGAAACAAAAGCCGCAAAGAGGTTCATGCTAGTTTCTCAATAAAAACATGAGAAGGTAACAACACACTCCCAATAGGATCAAGTTCTCATATTAAAATTCAGAAAATAATAGCACATAAGTACAGCAATTAAACCAATAATTCGTCTCAAGACTGTAGGAAAATTTTGGTATAATTGCTATATTTAATCACACAGAAAATTTAGAAATAAATTATGCAATATCATGATTTTGAAATATAACTCCAGGATTTTAAAAAGAAAGAGAGTGCAAGATTTCACACATGAATTTACTAGTGATATGTATATAGTCAACTATCTTCATCAGGGAACATAAAATGCATCAAAGACCAAAAATTAATGGTTGTACGAGTTACCGTCACGCCCATCAGTGAACGCCACCGCTTTGGAAGTCAGAATAGCCAAGATGGAAATAAAGGCAAAGCACATCCATACACCCATACTCAAGAAAATCTGATTCGGACTGCTGAAATCAACGGGAAAGAAAAGTTGTTAGTATATAAATTGAGGTAAAAAAGCACTTTCTTCCCATTTTCCTCCAGAAGTGTTCAAGAAACGCTCGACCGAAATGCAATCAAGAACGCATTCTGGAAAATCTAAAGAAACTAAAAACAAACCTTAGAGGAAGCCTGTAGAGAGAGAGCGGGAGAGAGAGAGATTTTGAAGCAGAGAGATAGAGGGTTGCGTGCTGTGCTCTAGAGAGAGAGACTGTACCTGCGGAAAACAATGGGAAAGAAAAAACGTAAGTATGAAAATGCACATTTTATCAAGTTTCCTCCATTTTATTGGAAACCAAACAGAAAAGGAGGTGTTCAATAAAAGCTCTGTAAACTAACTGAAACGCAGTAATCCCACATTGCTAAAGCGGAAAGTATCAAAAGATGCTAACGAACCTTTGGAGTCAGCGTCGTGTAGAGAGAGAGAGAGAGAGAGAGAGAGAGAGATTGTGAAGCAGAGAGGTTGGAATGTGTGCTGTGGAAATTGCAGAGAGAGAGAGAGAGAGTGAGGGAATGAGAGAATGAGAGAGACCTGTAGCATTGGTCTTAAGCAGCTTGACCATCGTGGAATAGCTGGACCCATAACCGTCTAGCACGTGCCACTTCTCCGGGGTTTGTTAGAACGAAAAACCGAGGTCATTGCCGAGGCGCCAATTTGTGCCTTTAGTTATAAAATATGGTGGTAAAATAGACATTTTATTGAATTTAATTTAGGATCTGTTGTAAGAAAAGATAAATTAGAATTTAACATTTAATGGCACACCCAGTTATTTGCGCATCACACCCCTCCATTTTCATCATAATATTTATTTTTACTGTCTTTATTTATTTAGTTAAATAATGAAGGCAGATCCGTAGCACCACAAAAATGATTGAGATTAAACAAATTAATTATTTTATTTTTTTTATAAATAATATATTGGAATTAATTTTTGATTGACTTTCCCATTCCATTTTCTCTCTCAGTGTAATTATGTTTTCCACGACTCCCTATATACTTCTCTCTCACTTGGCGTTCTTGTTCCATTATCTTCATCCATCCTCATCGTCTTCTTTTTTGTGTTCTTCTTCCCTTATCGATTTCTCATCTGACTCATACCATACGTAGACTTCCTACTTCTTGAACAATGACAATTTTCGGTACTCAACTCACCTAAACGGACTATAGATGATCCCTTCGTAATCATACAAGTCATTCTGGGTTTAAAGCTTTATCCCCTTTCTGATTCACTTCTTTTTTGTGTCCCTACTCATCCCTCAAATAAAGAAAATACTCAATTCAAATATGTCTCAACCAGATAAAAGAACGGATGTATCAACAAAACTTTGAGATTCTTACAGCAAATATGTCCAAGATTATGTTATCAACAAAGCTTTTTTTTTTATCCTTTCCCCTGTCAAACATGTTAAATTTATCCAAAGTGCTTCAAAGAAATTCACAAACCATCAATAATCATAATAAGATTCCAAAATCCAAAATAGTAGCTTCATTGCTAGGTAGGCACTTCAAGCCCTGAATGCTAACCTTAGATTCTGATCTTCTTAGTCTTAACAAAACATACACAACAAAGCATAGCCAGTTCAGGTTTTCTACCCAACAAAACATAATAAAACCTTCAAAAGGTTCCAAAGTTTTAAGACCCAATAATAAAGCATTCATATGAACTGGAGAACCAAGGGACCTATTTGAAAGTGACCAGTGAATATGCTGACTGCTGGTGTCAAAGCCCCTGGTGTGTCCAAGTTCCATTTGTTGCTGCCTCCTGCTGCTCTGTTGAGACAACTCAAGCACACCAGAGTACTGAGTACTAAGAGGAGGCTGCGATATTTGACCGAGACCAAGATCAGGAAGCATCTCGTGTGAGCTGCCGGCATTTCCTTTGAAACCCCACGAAGTGGTCGGAAAGTGGTTGGAGGTCCCAGCATGAGTGATCGGTTGACCCACAGGTGGTCCTTGAGTGTTTACCACGGTGTTCATCCCAACACCCGATACTCGGTTTCTTGAGCCCCATGGTTGACTTGACAGAAGAGAGAGAGCACAGCTTGAGTCAGTGACTCCTGTGACGCATTCTCCCGGAGGAATTCCAGGACCAGGATAACTAGTCCCGCCCGCTGAACCTTGCAGGTAAAGGCCTGATGGAGTAATCTCAGAGTTGCTCTGCCATGGATGTTGAAGAAACTTCCCCGTGTCATTGGAATTTTGATTTCCAGGTACCCACTCAGACGTTCTCGTGGTTTCCCATGCATCCCTCCCAGAATGCCTTGGGTATGCAGTGAAGTCCATGAGAAAGCTTCCAACTCTGCTGCTGTTTTCTATCATTTCAAGTAAAACATTTTATTGCAGTTTTACAAGTACGACTGAAAAATATACACATTTGACAGTTATTGAGTGCAAACAGGTATTTTAAAGGGATATTCAAAGGGAAATTCAACTAATGATGAGCTGATGTCTAACCATAGATAGATGAAGAAAGTCGGCCAAAACGCGCAGACAATATGGATCCAGGTTGTGGCTTTCTGCGGCGCTCATTATGACCAGCCAGGCGTCTACGGCAACTACGTTTTCCTTGGTCAAATTCAGGAAGCTGATGAAATCTGGGAATTGTGAGGTAAGTTATTCACCATCAAAGTAGGGCCTGTACTAAAGGCTTGAAGAAATTTGTACAATAACGAAAGCAAAAGCAGACATTTAATGAGGGGAATTGCTTGTTTAGTTTGGCTAACCAGAGGATCCGGATTCTTTTTAAAAAGGGTATACATAGGTTATGCCATAACTGATGAGACCTGAAATTCACTGAATCCTACCACTGAAATGTTCTACTTCAAACCTAATTAGAAGACAAAACCTCAGCAGAAAGAGCAAGACCTCTTTTTTAATATAAAAAACACTCATAAATAAAAATCGAAGAACATCCTAGTTGAAGTACTGAAAGAAACAAAACCATTTTTCAACTACCAAACTCAAATATAATAAACTATTATTGATGAACAAAATAAAGCAAAGGGAAGTATCATTAACTTGTGATTGTGAACCTTTTACGCATACGCTGCTAGTTTGAAAGGGTCATCTTAAGATCTTAAAGAACAAACTATTCAAGAGACAATACAATGTACAAGTTTGCTGTCACTCAACAGAGAGAATTCATGAAGCAAAGTTTACTATCTATATCTAGAAATTCTGTCTCATACTTGTATAGCTCACACCTCATGCCCAGTTTTATAAGACTGTTTGAAACTTGGTATAGCAGCATAACTAGGCATGTAATATTCAATTTTAAAGGTGAACATACCATCACATAATAGATTGCCACAGGTATATATATTTAATGCTAAATTTTATCTCACACTTGCAAAGCAAATCAAGTAAGAATGACATGGATTCCATAAAGGTTATCAAATCCAAAAAGACATGGGATTTCAATGAAACAGCATTTGTTATTTGTTTCAACCCAAGTCTCAAGTTTCAACGCTATTGCTGCAAGCTTATTCATTTGGCACACAAGCCTTGAAAGTGAAGCATCAAACTGCAGCATTCTGACAACTTTAGATCCTTGGTTTATTCTAGTTTCTCGAATCAATGACCTTCTAGTGAACTATTGAAAGTTACATTTTATCATAAGGTCTAAAACCATCCAACCATGATGAACTTCCGCATAGAAAATCTCCAAAACAAGACAAATATTATAGTAGGATCACCTATAAACACTAGGAAATACTTAGTGAGGGATTGTGGAGCCATATTTGAAGTCTGGTTTGGGAGGCAGATGTTTAGATAGATTAGTGGCAACTGCATGATGCATTGATCAAGTTTTATTAAACTTGTGCATATCCACGAAAAATTAAAATGACAGCTTTCGAGACCCCCACGGATAATACTTTAGTTCAATATGCCACACCACAAGTTAATTGGTTTTGAGAATCTCAAAAATAGAAATTTGAGGATATGCAATTAACACTTATTTTCATTTGTGAAGTCAACAGTCTCATGTTCATTCTGATTTCTGAGGTAGTTTATTGTTGTAAAACTCAAGAAAACACCTTCAT